TTATATTACACGCAAAAATCCACGTCCACTTTCGTAGACTTCAAATCAACGTTGAATCAAGACAGTATTTGTATCAGATTGTTCCAAAAGTTCTTTTGTAATTTACAGTCTTTGTGTATCCAGGGAAATGAGCATATACAGATGTGCTGTGCATCTTGTAAATAATGTTTCATCGTTTCCAACATTTTACTTCTTCAGCCACCGCATTTGCTAATTTAATAAACAATTATGAAATTATTATTTGGTTGAAATGAACCTTTGGAACAATGTAATTCTTTCAAACTTTATTAAGTGACCTCGTATAAAGAAATAGCAGATTAACGTAAAATGTAATTTTTTTATGTACCTTTTGAATCGCTTCAAACACGGTGAAACGACCATAAACGCGAAAAGTATCCACAAACAAAATAACTTCCTACGAAAGTTGTCTCTCTTTTCTTCCTAGATTATATTAATTGTTAGGATTATTATATTATATAATATATTTTCATTATATTATATTTCTTTATTATCATATTATATATCTTTATAAATATAAAGAGAATACATGAAAATCTCAGTTTTGTTTTTATTGATTTTGCGTCTTCTGGCATGTCAATCTGACAAGAATCATTTCATTACAAAAAAAAAAGTTTATAATATCACGTAGACGAAGTAATAAAAGATTTTATTAAAATTGCGAAGGACATATGACTCTGGCATTAAATACAAGAACGAAACGAGAAACAGCACGAAACGGTAAAAAAATAATTTCCAAATATACTACAGGGTAACTATTATAAAATAACGAGCAAAGAATCGTTTCTGCGGGACCGGCGATATTCGTGGACACGTAATTGAAATATATCATATTTTAATCGACACTTTAATGGGTACGGTTGAACAAATGCCGCGTAATAGAACGGTTCAACCGTTTCCCCATCCTATTTTCGAATGCTCGTATCTCCTCATCGTACCATATCCATATAAAATTTTACGACATCGTTGCACGTGAAAAGTTATCGCACGGTATTGTGTTTGTTATACCTGACTCCTATATAATAGATGATGTTTAAGCGATGTAAGAAGCTTTACATAAATTACCGGCTGCAGTTTACGTATCTATCGGGCGTGTCCCGTTTGTTTTTTTTTCACCACTTTGGTCCCTTCTTATTTATAGCCGATAAATTGTATCGCGAATCCGTTATGCAGGTTTTACACAAATTACGTAATACATTTCGAGCTTATCTGCCGAGGATATTTTTTTGATCGATCGTAATATCCACGCGACGATCCTGCCGGCGATTCATCTTGCAACGCACTCGAATTGCCGCGTTACTGAAGATCGATCGATGGACGCTAAATGAACTCATTATTTTCTATACCGTACCGTGAAGTATACGCGTATAATTATGCAGTACATAATCGTTCGACTAACTTTGTACGTTTGAAAAATGCAATGCTGATAAATGAAATCGTTCATTAATTTCATATCCAAGACTGCAATGAATTAATAAAGAATTATTCGAACAATTGATTCGAATAGAGCTTGTAAAATGATTCGAACGATAATGCAAATAATTGTTAACTGTGTCTGTTTTTACGCAATTTTATAAGAATTTATTTATACCAATATCTACCCAAAAGTAACAAACTTTCCGATGCAATGTTTCCAAATAAAATTTTGCCCGACTCTGATACACGAATAAATAAAATCGCATAATAACACAGTTAACAATGATTCGTATTGTTATCCGAATAATTTGACGATCTCTGTTCGCATTGTAATTCGAATAATTTATTCGAATGATTTTGCTATCTCTATCCGAATAAATTATTCAAATAATTTTGCAATCTCTATTCGTATAAATAGACAGAATAATTTACGAGGAACAATGGATAATTGTTGTACGAATGAAATATTCGATTAGAAAGTTATTCATTCGAATCGCAGATATTCTTTTCAGATCGAATCTCGCACGAATTGCATCGCGCACTTAACACAGTTGAATTATGTGATTACAGGGCCGAATTTCGTGAGCTCGTTCGCCTACGAGGACTACGTGTTCTTCTTCTTTCGGGAGACCGCCGTCGAGTTCATGAATTGTGGCAAGGTAAAGTTTGCACTCATAATAGTAGCTTGGAATTGTGAATATTCAATACTCCGTCGCGGCGGAGCCCGGCCAGCAAATTTTCCCCCTTTGTCAAAGAAATTATTCTCGAATAAATTTTCGTTCGCCAAGACGTTCGCTGGGTCGGTCTCTGGCCTGTGTGTACCCTTTCTTTTCGTCTTCTTCATTTTGTTCTTCACCGGTACGATGGAACGCGAAGGCAACGGAATACAATGGCCACCGCGGATACCGGGGCAAGACGCGCGGCGAGAGGAAAGAATCGAAGAAGCCAATTGTTCGAGGTTCCCATTTGTATTTTAGGCGGTGTACTCGCGGGTCGGTAGAGTGTGCCAGCACGACAAGGGCGGACCTCATGCGTTCAGCGACAGATGGACGAGCTTCCTGAAAGCGAGGCTCAACTGTTCTGTGCCCGGCGAATACCCTTTCTATTTCAATGAAATACGTGAGTATGCTTGCTTGTACACACGCACACGTGTGCTCGTAAGTTCGGGAGCTATGACGTTTGTCGGGACCCTCGTCGAGTGCACTTTGGTCCTTATGTGCTGGACAGAGGGGCTGGGTTGCCCGGCGGACTACCTTGCGCCATTACACTTACTCGCTCAGGCACTAATCAAATATATGGATCGGATCAACTGGCCAAATCTACGAATAAACTTCCACCTTCGACAGAATGGACGAAGTGTTTCTGAAAAGTAATGGGACTGGATGCGTAGCTCAATACAGTAGAAATCCGTTTACGTGAACTCGGCGGACCAGCGGTTCGTACGACTTGCACGTTCACGTAATAGCAGTTCGCTGATTGTTCTCGCCAAGGTATAATATTATATAACAGTACGTTTAAAGGCCCAGATGTGTATATATAGGAAAGATGTATACAAAAAATAATTCTATCTTTATTTTTTCAAGATTATTTAAAGCTTACGTCGCCCCTTTTTTTAAATAGAATTCCTTATTTTTGTTTTCTTATTGTGAAAGTACAGAGAAAGACGAATTCAGTATAGAACGCGATCTTGAGGTAGTCCAAGGTTGCAAAAATGAACAGCCTTTAAAACACACAAAAATCCACATTTTTCCAGTGTGTTTCACATTTCATGTTCAGAATGTCCACTGAAAGGAACTGTGTATTGTGTACGATGTGTGGCTTAAATGTATACAAAAAAATTATGTAACACCAGTCTCATTACTTTATAGACACACCTCATATTCTTTGATCCTAGCGAATTTCGCGGAACTACTTCAGCCTCCGGAAGTTATGCAGTACTGACAAATCTCTTTAAGTTTTCGTCTAACTACTATTGAATCTCAGCTGTTCCAATTAACAATGAGCAGTCTTCTTCTGGGTAGATCCCCAGCTTTTGTTAACCCTTTTTCTCAATCCGCATGATCACGAAATAGGAAACATGAATCTATCAACGGACTTTTGGAATAGCGAAGAACCCATTGTTGATTATACTGATTGTTCTATACTATAGAAAGAACAATATAAGAAGATTATCTATTTACTAATCGTATATCTTTTTAATAAATCGAACCTCGCTGTTTGCTCTGCTTCAGTAATTCATTGAGATAATTTTTCAGAGACGATAAGGCTTTCGCCGAAGAACTGTAACAATGAAAAGTGTACAGTTTGATCTTGTGAAAGCGATACAAATTCTGGCCCGTGTAACATAATCTCCACTGTAATTAGTTCAGCTTTAATTTTAGATGAGCTTTAATGACTCAAGTAGAAAGCGTTAAAAAATATTGTTTCGTAACGAATTCATGGAACTTTTACTATTTTTAATTTCTGGATTGTCAATTAAAAACGTAACTTTTCGAAGACAAATATGATAATGACGGATCAATACTGTTATAAAGGCACGCGCTCGGTGATGCATGCTTCCATTTCCGAATTCCCGATAACATCAAAGGCTCCTGTATCATACAGAATATTAACAAAGTTCTATTAGAGTAAAATTTAGATCAAAGTCTGGTTCATTTGGATAAATGGGCAAAAATTCACTTTATGCATTTTGAAAGATACAGCATTGCGATCGCTAAAAGCTGCTACTTTTGGCCGCGCGCGAACACGGCGAAATGCTTGTGTATAAGTTAATTGGGCTGTAGGCCATAGTCGAAATTGTCTGGCTACTTACAAGACTCGTGCTACGTAATTACGTATGTCATATATCGCACGAATTTCAGCTCGAAACTATCGCTATTTTCTTCTAACTCCAACATGGAATCTACGTGTCGTTCTACGATAATAATTTCAAACTCCATTTCATTAAAAACGAATTAAAACCTCAATTTATGATGTACAATGTTACAAGATAATATCGAAAATTGAAAAGAAAGAAGTCAAACTATATTTTCAGTTTCATTATTGCTATTCTGGATTGGATTCTATCGGATAACTGTACATATATTATATAGTGATTCTATGTATATAGCTTTAAAAATATAATCGTCTATGAAAATGTGACAAATGGTCGAATGAATAAAAAGATAGTGCTTGATCTACTTAGTGAGCCAATTTACATTTTCGAACACATATTTATAATAATATAAACGTATTATTTTCAGTAGCCCATTCTTTTGGCATAACTCGAATATTTTGTGCCTGGTAGCACACGAATTTCATTAGAAACTTTTTCGATATCAAAAAAGCTGCACTCCGAAGCACGCTCATCAGACAACTTGTAGTCAGCGATATTATGCATTCGGTGGAGGATTTCTACAGCTCCTCCGACTATGTACTCGGTAACCGTTGGATTTCTAATGATGTAGAACAAATAACAACGAACTATAAATATTTAACTAATACACATTACTCGGCATTCAGCAAGCATTGCAATTACAAAACTCGATAATTCAACTGTCTTCTTCTCGCATCTCGAGCTACATTCTCTCAGAACGTTCTTTCACACTCGCTAATTGACTTTCAAGCCGAGTTTACCATAAAACAATTTCACACAATAATCGCGTGCAGCAGAGTCATAGGAATCCGTATAGAAATCCTCGTTGATTCGAAAACACCGTATGGAGAATCGATCCCGAATCAATACGAAGTAATTGCGGCAAGCAGTTTCGAAAGTGCAACGTAAATTGGCAGGAATCGGAATGCCGGTTACAAATATCGTCCCAGATAAGATGCATTCGATATTCCTTACGGGGCTTACTAGAAATCCATTGAACTTGATCTCTCTCCTTCCTTTATCTGGCTATGTATCAACGTTTCCCGTGCAGTTCTTCTGCCGGCTGTTTTATCGGGACCGGAGCGTTTTAATGCTCCCTCGGCAAACCGTGCAAACGATCGAATGTCGGCTTCGCAATTATGACTTAACGATAAGGTGACGAACAAATGGATTTAATTCCTTTTTTCCTTGCACCCGGACGTTTCATCCAATATCCATTATACCCCCCTGCCCTTTTCCCGTCTTTTGCCTCTGCTCAGCAATTTTACGTTGCTGACCGAACGATTTCCTTCCCCGTGGTTTTCATCCGGGCCAAACTAGCTTTCCTTATCGACGTCACTTATTACATTACCATTCACCAACTGATGATTCGCAATTACAGACACTGTATTTTCGCCGATCCGTTCATTTTATATTTCTGCTGCGCCACGCAAATAACCGTTCAACTCTGAATTATTGTCTCGGCCGCGTTGCCATTAAAGAATTGACTACGTATACACGAAGCGGACTCGATAGCTCCGCCGATGATATCTTTCTATTATGCTGATACATACACTGAGCGAAAAAAGTTTCCATGCACCTTTTGAAACGCAATAAATCACTTGAATATTTTTCAGATGACAGAGTGACTAGTATACTAGACAACACACTAAACTATACACAGTAAACTTACCGAGCATTAAAAGTGACGAATGCGTGTCGCCCAGTAAGAATGATAAGATTGAATTTATTTAGACTGTCCGCAATTTTTAGTACAATGAGTACTTGGATTAAGAAACTCATTTAATCATTTCCTATGAAAGAGAGTCTTTATAATTTCAGCAATCTTAAAATACAAAATGTGGAACCGGTCATCTTGAATGACACCTAAAAAAAAGAAAATAAAGAAGAAAAGATACATTTGATAAATGGTAGTCCACTCGATATGTATTCCAAACAAACACGCGAACGGATCATACTTGCGCGACACTATTTTCAGGAACAGACATTGCTGTCTAAAAGCAATCGCGATTAGTGCATGCACACTAATTTATTTCATTCAAAATGAAAAACTCTCGTGCACTTTGATCTGTTTCCACGCAACTCTAAAGAGAATCGTCGAGTGAGCGATGCAGCGAGCCTTGAAACGGCTACTCGCAGTGTGGTATTTATTTATTTCGCAACTCTAACGCAACACGTCGGCCATTTTCGCGACGCTAAGATAGTCGCGTAGAAGAGCTCTCGTAACGCTAATTTTTCGAGATAGCTTAGCGACAAGGACTATCCCCAGCCTCTTAGAATCCACCCTGGATTCCTACGCTACGCACCACCCACCCGCCTGAACGTCGTAACGCCAAGACGGATGCACCCCTTCGTCCAAGACAGTGGTTCCAGCTCAACATTCTGAGAGCCGGTCGCTCTGGATGTAGACCGAGGTCTAGTAACACTGTCTTTTTTACACAGAGATAGTGTTTCATGGTCTTATGCTGCGAGATCCGGTACCTCCGGCTATCTCGTTTCATTATTGTCAAAAATAGCGGCTAACTAAATCGCGTTTATAATCGCTACGCTAACTCAACCGTTGTTACTTCGTCGCACGACTTAAAGGAAAATAGCGAATACGAAGGAAACTATTGCAACGCGATTATTCTCGCAACACTAACTTTGAAATCGATTCAGAGACAAGCCGCGAGAATTGATTTCGCGACGCTCTAATGCAAATCGCGATGCCCATCTGAGCTGTTCGTTGGGACCTATCCATTGTTACAGCTGCAGCATGGGCGCAACGCTATTATATCGTCGCGACGATAATACCACGAACAGAAATCCAGAAGACTACTTGAATTTCTAGAAAGGTACGAGTCTGTGAACTTTTGAAAAATGTAAAGAAATTGCCAAGTTGAAACGAGATTATTTCGCAACGCTATATTCGAAGCAACTGTATTTAACAAAGCAAAGAAAAATTGCCACTATTTTATTCGCAACACTTCATGGAAAAAAGGGCAGTCCACCGCCCGCTTTTCTTCCTTCAGATTGAAAGTCGATTTTAATTGCACAAACCGATCAGTGCGTTATTAAATCAAACTCTTTTCATTAATAAATGTATTATTTCTGTCTTCTTAATATTTATAACAATTCTGTAAAATGGACTATCTGAGCATTCCAACGTTACATACGATGGTCATCAACCAACTTTACTTACAGCTTTCGGCGGTTTTTCGATCGATTTTTATTATACAGGGTGTCCCAGAAAGTCGCTCGCAATCGGGAAATGGGGGCTTCCTGA